AGTTGTATTTGCCTTGAAATGTTGGAGACATTACTTGTATGGTGAGAGATTCGAGGTGTACTCGGATTATAAAAGTCTCAAGTACCTTTTCTCCCAAAAGGACTTGAACAATAGACAGAGAAGATGGGTTGAATTCTTGGAAGACTACAATTTTGACTTACAGTATCATCCAGGCAAGGCAAATGTGGTAGCAGATGCCTTAAGTCGAAAATCTCGTGGAACTTTGGCCTGTCTGGCTATTCGGAAGTGGAAGATGCTTAAGGATTTGGCAGAGATGGGATTGTATTATTTTGATGACGATGTTGACAGTGAGCCAGCATTCTTGTTTAGTCTTGTGGCTCAGCCTACTCTTGTTGTACGAGTGATTGAGTCACAGAGACAGATCCTGGATTTAGATGACATTCACGCTTTGATCTCCAGTGGTGAGATAGTGAAAGATTGGGCCTTGTATACAGATGGGGGTCTATAGTTCAGGGGTTTGTTGGTGGTTCCTACGGTTTGTCGTGAGGACGTCTTACGGGAGTTTCACACTTCCCGCTTTTCAGTTCATCCATGTGGTACCAAGATGTATTACAATTTGAGACGTCAGTATTGGTGGAACGTGATGAAGAAAGATGTTGCATATTTTGTGGCTAGATGCCTTACCTGTCAGTAGGTGAAGGCTGAGCATCAGAGACCAGCCGGTTTGTTGCAACTATTACCTATAATGCAATGGAAATAAGAGCATATTGTTATGGATTTTGTGACAGGTCTTCCAAAGTCACAAAGGGGCAATGAGTCCGTATGGGTCATCATTGACAGATTGACCAAGACGGCTCACTTTTTGCCTATTAAGGCAACAGATGATGCAGAGAAGCTTGGTGTTCTTTATGTGAAGGAGATTGTAAGGTTACATGGAGTTCCTGTAACCATTGTGTCAGATAGGGATGCTAAGTTCACTTCGAAGTTCTGGGAAGGACTTCAAGCAGCATTTGGCTCAGCGTTGCATCTGAGTACGGCATTCCATCTATAGACTGACGGTCAGTCAGAGCGTACTATCCAGATTTTGGAGGACATGCTTCGAGCATGTGTGCTTGACTTAGGTGGTAGTTGGGAGGATCACCTTCCACTTATTGAATTTGCCTACAACAACAGTTATCAGGCGAGCATTCAGATGGCTCCATTTGAGGCGTTGTATGGTAGACCTTGTAGGTCTCCTGTTTGTTGGACTGAGGTAGGCGAGACAGCTGCCTTAGGACCCGACATTATACTTGAGACTACTGAGAAGATTAAGTTGATAAGACAGAGGTTACTTACAGCTCAGAGCCGACAGAAGAGTTATGCGGATAAGTGGAGACGGTCTTTATCCTTTGAGGTGGGAGACCATGTTTTTTTATGGGTTTCTCCACGGAAGGGATTGATGAGATTCGGGAAAAGTAGCAAGTTGTCGCCACGATTCATTGGACCGTTTGAGATTTTGGACCGTGTAGGAGAGGTTGCCTACAGACTTGCTTTGCCACCACAGTTGGATAGGGTCCACAATGTTTTCCATGTATCGATGTTACGGAAGTACGAGCCAGATTCATCTCACATTTTGAGTTGGGTTGATGTAGACATTGATAAGGATGTTCCCTACGAGGAAGGACCAGTTCAGATTCTTGACACACAACAAAAAGTGTTAAGGAACAAGACGATACCAATGGTGAAAGTCCTTTGGAGACACCACGGAGTCGAGAAGGCTACTTGGGAGCTCGAACAGGAGGTTCGCTCCAAGTATCCAGAATTGTTTTCTTCTCCAAGTATGTCTTGATTTCGGGGACGAAATCTTTTAAAGTTAGGGAGAATGTAATGTCTGTAAATTAAAAAGAAAAAGAAAAAGAGAAAAAAAAAAAAAAAAGGTGTGGGACCCACGAAGTTTAAATGGTCATAAGACCACGTTTTTTTTCCTTTTTTTTTTTTTTTTTTTTTTTTTTTATATTTGTTTTCTGTTGTTTCTTCTCTCTCGCAGCTCTCTGCTTCTTTGTATTTCTTTTTTTTTCTTTTTCTTTTGCAAGCTTTCACTCTTGATTTCTTCCTCATTTCTTGGCGGATTTAGGTGCCGTTTGAGGCAAAACGACGAGCACAACGAGCTCTACGTGCTAGTACCAGAAATTCCAGCTTTTGGTCCTCTTTGGGAGCTCGAATTTAAGAACCCATTTCTAGGGATTTTGCTCATTTTGAGGTAGGGGCATCTTAATCCACTCCTTTTTTGTTCTATTGTGAATTACACCTCCTTGTTGTGTCAAACATGTTTAATTGGGAGTTAATTGTATCTATGATTGTATGAATAATGTTTAGAGAATTTTCAAGAGCTTGATTATGACTTGTTTCATGTGTAAAATATGTTTAGATGTTGTTTTATCATGCCCACTATGTGTTAACATGCTAAAAATGACTAATGAGAACATGTTTATTTAGATTGTGCCAAATTTCCCATTGTCATAATATTGAGATTATATGTACATCCATGCACATGTCATTGGGATGCATGAAATGGGAGAATTTGTCTTGAAATGAAAATGGGGGAAATTTTGGGAGTAGAGTTTTGTCAAATAGTTTTGATAAACTCGGTCGCTGCGGGGTTACCAACGGGCCGGAGGTTAATATAACCTAGAGGGGACTAGGGAATCGCCCTAGCGTGGTTGAGCTATTCGGGCCCCTCGATGACGCTGCGGGGTTACCAAAGGTCTAGGGATGATAGTCAATCCTCCTCTCGTGTCGCGGCGGGTTTACCAAAGGGCGGGCTGTATTAACATTTGAAAGTGATGGTTTTGTAAATGAAAATGGGGAGTGACATTAGCATGCATTGTATTTCATTGTACTGCATGGTTTATAATTGGAATTGACGTGCATATTGTTTTAATTCCCTATATTGCATGATCCCTATTTCCCATTGGCCTATGCTTTGTTTGGATTCACAAGGACACAAGAATTATGTCTTAAGTGTCACCTACTGAGCTTTATGCTCACCCTATTATTTATATTATTTTTTTCAGGTCTTGGAAATGAACCGGTGGACGACAATTCACCTCAAGCTTGAAAGTTGTTAGAAGGTTGTTTGCTATTTTGTATTTTGACCGTTTTATGTATATTCATAGTTGTGGGGATGTAACTAAGTTAGTATTCATGGCCTTGTAACTTAAGAACGAGCTTATTTTTTGTTTGATGTAAATGAAACTAATGGAATTATGGTATATGTTTCTATGCAATTGTATCGTGTAACGTTATAAGATAGGGACATTAAATCTTAACCATGTATTTTGGGACTGTATTTATGATAATTTAGATTAATTGGTGTGTGGATGTTCCACCATGAGAGGGACTATGTTGAGGTATAACGAACGGATGAATGGGATGCTGGATGATATTATGTGTTATGTGTATTGGGACAGGTTGTTGAAGGCCTATTTTTAGGAGAGGTTATGCCGAATTTTTTTAGGATTTTGACATCGGGTCATTACAATAATAACTTTACACCTCCTTTTAAAGTGGTTGCAGATACCAAGAACCAACTAATTGATATTTAAACCAGAAGATTATGCCCACACATCTGAATCTTTGATTGAGCAACCAACTTAAAACTGCACCATAACAACTTTCAGCCATTTACCCAACAATTCATTTCAGTTTATGTGGTTCCCAATCCGTAATTTTTCTTTTTCTTTTTCTTTCTTCTTTCTTCTTTCTTCTCTCTCTCTCTCTCTCTCTCTCTCTCTCTATTTCTTCTAAGTGAACAGTGGAGGAAGAAGGGGTTTTGCAACACCTTTTCGTCTTATAATTGAAATCAGAATAGCAGCTAACACCTGATGCTACACTAGAAAGACAAAAAAAGATGGCTTCTGACTTCAATCATCGTTTTACAACAGCACTTCAGATGTGTTTTCTGTAATTTCAGAAAGTTTTAATTATAAATTTAATAAAACAGAAGAACCTGTGGTCATTTAATTCCAAAATCCACTCTCACTAGATTCACTAAACTCTTTGGCTGCAATTTCTGTTTTAAATTAGAAACATACCTGAAGGAGCTTTTAATCTTCCATATTTAAAATATTTAAATACTTCTAATTGGCGCTAGATTGTCAAATTTTTTTAACCAACTACAGGTGCTACATAGCCTTTAAAGAACGTACAGTTATCAAATGGGAACCTTGATTAATGTTAAAACATTTCCAAATTATTCTCGTGGATGGGTAGGAAATCTAGAAATATGAGGAATGGTTTCACTTCTCATACTACAACAATATTATAAGAATGAGGACAATAGAGAAGAGAAAGAGTAGAGAAATAAATTACTATGCAAGAAGGTAAAAGACAAAGAAACAGTACTAAATTTACATCTCATAAAAATGCACATGACTTGGGGTTTTATGATAATAAAAATGAGATACACATATTTCTGAACACAACCACCCTTCCCCACCATCCTCTATCCCTCCCAAGAGATGCATACACACCGGAAAGAAATACAAACCCTAAACAAAAATTTAAATGGGTAGTGACCACTTTACTTTTTCGTGTGAAAAAGTAGAACCGCCCTTAGCCATCATCAAGCCACTTTATGGTGCCAGTGTTTAAAAGTCCCATCCATTTAGAGAGAAGGAAATATTATCTCACAAAAATAGAGATGACAAGAGGTACCTGGATTGCACAAACCCCACCCAACCCAATAAAGTTTTAGTCCAAGGCAAATTTCATATTACTCCAATTAAAAACTGTTTTAGGTAACCATTAGCAGTTGATTGAACAAGATTGTGAAACCATTAATTCATTTTAGAAAACCGTTTCTTGATCAACATCTATTCATTTACATGGAAATGCACAAATATAGGAAATTTAGGCATTCATGAAAAGAAGAAATAATTAAATTTTAGTCTATGATTCTGAACTTGAATACTTGACAAGTATTAAGCTATGAAAGGCAAATTAAAAGCACACAAGAAGATCAAATAAGTAAAATGACAAATTGAGGAAAGTTGAACTACCTGCCACCCTACAAATTGTTGCATGCTCTCATAATACAACTTCTTGACAGCAATGACTGTTCTACCACCGTTCTTAGATGTCGCCTGCCACCCTACAAATTGTTGCATGATCTCATAATACAACTTCTTGACGGCAATGACTGTTCTACCACCGTTCTTAGATGTCGCCCTCTCATCGAGCCAACCCTTGTAAACTCTCCCGAAACGACTTGCTCGCAACTTATCGCAATGCAACTCTGTAGCACGTGTGAAAAATTCAGTTGCTGCTTCCAATTCCGCACGTGTGAAGATTCTTAAATTGGGGGTGGGCAAGATCTGCCCAGTTGGATATGCCTCATCCCCACCACTTGCAAAACTGAATACAGATTATAGTAAGTATGGGCAATAAAATGGTATGAATTTCGTTATCTATTAAAAAACTAGTAGAAAGATAATTACACCCAGATAATTAATTGAATATTGTTAAGACGCTGAGGTCAAAATAGGATTCTAGTTAACAATATACAGAATGGATTCTACTTACCAAAAATTGACGGATAAATTATTTTTGTTAAATTTTTTTTTTTCGTAAATATTTTACGACAACCAAACATCAGAAAATAAAAAAATATTTTCTATCCAAACAAATGGAGCCGAAATGACATTTAGCAGCTACGGAAGACATTCATTTTAGAAAAATAAAACTCCATTAAAATTACTGGGAAAGTGTAATGTCTAGACCTTTGTCGGCCGGCATCACTTGGCAGAACAATTTCTTGATCTGCATAAGAATAGGCCTTCTCCTCGGGCTGCAGTGAATACACGAGGCCAGCCGCCACATCAACCATTGTAAGCCGTTTACTTGGCAGAACAATTTCGTGATCTGCATAAGAATAGGCCTTCTCCTCAGGCTGCAGTGAATACACGAGGCCAGCCACCACATCAGCCATTGTAAGCCGTTCAGTTGGCAGAACAATTTCTTGATCTGCATAAGAATAGGCCTTCTCCTCAGGCTGCAGTGAATACACGAGGCCAGCCACCACATCAGCCATTGTAAGCCGTTCGTTTGGATTATTGTGCAAGCATTTGGTGGCAATTTCGGTAAAAACTTTCAAACAACGAGGCGATATTTGCTCCCTCACGCTGGGATCAACTATTTGATCAAGTTCTCCCTCTTTGATGCAATGTTTGGCCCATAGGGCTAGACCACGCTGCTCAAGTCTTACATCAACAGCCGGCCGCCCACACAATACTTCAAACAATACCACACCAAAGGCGTACACGTCAGATTTCTTTGTCAGTCTACGAGTCAAGAAATACTCTGGATCTAAGTACCCAAATGTGCCTTTAATATCAGTGCTAATGTGGGTGTGTGATTGGCCTGCATTGTCCATTTTACACAACCCAAAATCAGATATCTTAGCCACCCAATTTTCATCCAACAAAATGTTTGAGCTCTTCACATCGCGGTGTATGATACTGTGGTGGGCACCGCTACTCGTATGCAGGAACTCCAACCCACGCGCAGCATCAATACAGATGTTTAGTCGTTGTTCCCAAGAAAGAGGATAGCTGCCACTACCATTTATACTAGCCTTGTGGAGATGGTCAGCAAGGGTCCCATGGACCATGTACTCGTAGACCAGGATCATCTCCTGACAATCATCGCAATAGCCAATTAGAGAGACGAGATGATTGTGCCGAAGCATAGAAAGGGTGTTGATCTCAGCCCAAAACTCGTGAGCCCCTTGTTTGGATTGCGAATTCAACCGCTTTATGGCCACACACCTTGTCCTGTCAATGAACCCTTTATACACGTTACCAAATCCACCTTTACCAATGACTAGTCCATCATCAAAGTTGTTGGTGGCCAACTGGATCTCAACAAGTGAGAAGCGTCGGTGCAACTCCTCCGCATCCAATGACGACGAGCTCTTTATTTTGCTAGAGTTTGATTCTAAACAATTTAAATGGTAAACAATGAAATTCAATAAAGTGAGTACAATAATTATGCCCGTTGCAATCTTATTTTTGATGCCAAAAGCTGAAAATAATTTTCGGAGTCTTGGAGTCCTAGATGTCACAGCATATGATGTGAAAACAGGATTCACACCGGCGAGACTATTGTCGGGGTTGCTCAACTTAAATATCTCTATACCTTTGAGGGTGGCATGAACTTTTTTAGTGCTCGACTCATAATTCAGCTGCAAAGTTATGATTAGATCACGTCTGCACTCCATCCGGTCTCCTTCCATCATGACCACATAGTCCTTGTATGCTGCAACCCCATATCCACTGCTCGCATCAGCATCAATCTCAATAAACTTATTGTTTATTAGGAGATCAAACTTTTTTTGCCCGCTTTCAGTGATGATGGATTCAAGCTCACAAAAATGAAGCCTAACTAAATATCTGAATCCCAAATCTACTGGTAATTTCCACGTGAAGTTGTAAACTTGGTTTGTTTGTTGGTTCAAATCAATTGACCATGCAGTTTGATAAACTTTAAGCGGTGCAGAATATATGGGTATGTTTGTGTATGTGATCATATTTCTTGTATTGACTTGTAAAAAACTTGATTGTAACAGGTAATTTTTGTCCTCATTCCACATACGAAACATGCCCAAATCTTCTACTGCTAAAATGAATTTCCCACCAACATTTAACCGGTAAACCATCTCTAATGCAGTGTCATTATCAATATGGTATCGAAAAAACTTATTGCCAACGACATGAGCGCCCAAATCACCATCTGGAGTGTAATAAAGACCGGCAGGCATGGAAACGATCTCAATTCCGTTTATAAAAGCATAAACATTATCACCATATGAAGAAGTAGTACTTTTAAATGGAAAGAATGTTATGTTGAAGACTTGACTTTCTTTGATGTTCAAACAGAATTCTTTTGCAAAATAACTTACACCCAAAGCATCAGCAGTAAGAGGGGCGCTGAAATTGCTGAGGAGGGTGTAAGGACCAGCTTTAACAGTAAAATGGGCCTTAGATCTTTCAAAACCAGGGTATGAAGTTGGATAGAAGTGCAATCGGATGAATTTCTGACCTGGTCTGAGTTGAAATGTATAGGTGAATGGAGCACGAGAGATCCAAGCGGTCATGTAGGGAACAGGATCGGCAAAAAGTGATTGGTGGACAGTTGTTGATGAGCTTATTGATTTTCCTTCTGCTTCTTTCGGTGAAGTAAATGTTGAACCCATATCTCCGACCCATTCCCGGCCATCAAAAGTAGATGAACTTCCAGAGGAGCCACAGTTAACGGCAATGTCATCTACAGGATAATATTGGACAGGCGAGTCATTCGCGCCGGTAAACGTAAGAAGGTGGAAGAGGTAGACACCGGTGATGATTCTAAGATGAGAACGGTACATGGTTTTTTTTTTTGTTTCTCTGGGTAAAATCAAAGAGAGTCCTTCCCACTGCTAAGGGAAGGAGAGGAATAGAGAGTATTCTTTGGGCCAAATTAGAAAGACTTTACATGTCTTTGGCAGACTTTTCCACCAAATTAAAAAGGAGTTTGAAAAAGAGTTATTTGATATCACTGTCACACGACTCACCTTCATTGACCGACTGCAATTTTCATGGAAGTTGCTCTGTGTTTATATGTAAAAAATATATTCTAGATTATCTATCTAGAAAGTTAAAAATGTGATTGTTGGGAGAATTAGACGCCACTAATTCCCTTAGGATCCTGCCATCAATACGCACAATAACATGCACAAAATTATAAAACAATAATTTATACGTGATTCGGCTAACTTTACCTACGTCAACGGCACGCACCAAAAATTCACTATATTTGTTGAATAATTACAAGGTGTGAATCAGCAGATCCCACACACGCATACACCGTGTATTTCTCTTTCACTTTTGAAAAATACACTCAGTAGTAAGATTTATATGTACCACTCGCAAGCACACGAATCTTTGTAAATAGGGTTTACTTGTAAAGGTGTCGTACCCAAGGGACTTGTGTAAAATAAGTTTGTCAACAAATTTCTTAAATTCCAAATTAACTTGAAAGTAGGATAATCGAATTGAAAGTAGGATAATCGAATTGTGATGATTAATTCTAAATTAACTAAATAGAAAATAAAATAAAGAACAATAATTAAATAAGATGTAGAAAATAGAGAGAGAGAGAACTAGGGGTATGATTTCACCATTAATATCGCTCCACCAATCAATTATATCAATTTATTAGAGATATATCATATAACATGCATAGGGAATTAATCATGGCTACAAGCACATATTAATTCAGCTAGAAAATAATATAATTTAAAGCTAAACATGAACTTTCTTCGATTGGTATAAACCATCTACCTATCTACTTTATTCTAGGGTGTAACATGGTCTATGTTTTCTAGGCATAATCCATCAAATCTCTAACATTATATTTTGAGAAATACCACTGTGTAATCATCTCATTCATAACTACAAGAAGCGAATGAGTTGTGTTCAATCATAAGATTAAAATATCTAAGGTAAGATAGAAAAATATTTGTAATTGAATTAAAACTCTAAAACCGATTCTTATTGAAAAGTCAATAAAATCCTATAGATTACACAATTATGCATGATAAAAATTGTTCTCCAATAATTAAATACAATCAAACCAGTGTGCTAAGCTAGAGCTACATTACAACCCTAGCAAAGCGTTTAGCAAAGCATGACTCGAATGGAATTCTTCATGGTTGAGGAAGACATCTTCATCGCCATGGATTGATCCCTTCCTTCTTCTGAATGCTCCTCTCTGATCTCAGCCTCAAATTCCTCTGTATTCACAGCCTCAAGCTCCTCTGTTTTATCCTCCAATGTTGTAGAGGACTCTCTTTAAATAATAAAAGATCAGCCCTAAAGTTCCCTTTTTCATATATAAGACATTACATAAAAATTCTGTCAAATAAGGACTTCAAAATTCGTACAGACTTCCAGCCCAATTTTGACAAGGAAAACAGCTGTTTTATGGAATCATCGTGAAATACAAAATTGTAACTCTTCGAATTTCCTTTCAACTTAACTAAGAATTTAGCTATTTTGACACTCAAGGAGAAAGATACGGCCAGATTACCAAAACGGGTTCAAGTTACCAACTTTGGCGAAAGTTTCCTTTTTGGAAAAGGATTTTTCCTTTTTTTCTTCTTTCTATTCTCATCAACTTGTGTCTTCTTTAGACTATTTTCTAAGTATAATTAGATTTGGATCTTTAATATTGCTCGATCCCATGGAATGTCATCTTTTAAAACTCAGGAAATCACTAGTCTTAACTGATTTTACAATTAAAGCCCTGAAATAAATAAAAATAATAAAATAATGTAAAATCTCAAATAAACTCCTATTAAGATAATAAAACATGCAAGTAAAGGGGCTAAAATGTATAACATTCAGTGCCTAACACACTCTGTGTTCTCTTGCTCACTCTCTAAAAAATACTCATATTGTATTTATCTCCTTTTTCTTTCTTATCTCTCACTCTGCTTTGCTCTAATCTTAGCTACTGAGCTTTGTTCAACTCTTGTTTGTTGTTGTGATTGTTGTGATGAGTTGCATTCAACTTCTTCATCTTATTTATAGCTGAAAATAGGAGACAACATCCCTTAAAAATAGCCATGAATTAAGGCCAATGGAATGCAAAGTCAAGTGGTGGAATGCAGAGTCAAGTGGTGGGTGGCTGTCATCTAGAAGGCAGCCATAAATGTTAAAAAAAATGAGCCATATTCTAACAATCTCCCACTTGGCGAATTTTGCACAAGTAACTCAACTCTAGTGATAACGGTGGGCTTATTCATGTCTTCGAGCTAGAAGACCGACTAAAGTTTAGCACAACTTCAGTTTCTCTGTAGTGATTGTCTTGGTTAACATGTCGGCCGTATTCTTGGTGCCAAGTATTTTCTCAAGTGTCAACACCTCATCTTCCAGCAAAGATCTGATGAAGTGATACCGAAGTCCTATATGCCTGGTTCTCGAATGAAATACTAAATTATTTGCCAGATGTATAGCACTCTGACTATCACTGTGCAAAACATTCTTCACCTATTCGAATTCTAACTTTGCCAGCAAATTCTGTAACCATATCATCTACTTGCTAGCCTGTGTCATAGCAACATACTCTGCTTCTGTAGTAGATATCGCTACAATTTCTGTATCTATGAAACCCAACTAACTGTAGTCATACCTACCGTGAAAACATACCTAGTAGTACTTCTTCTGTGATCTATCTCACCAGCAAAGTCTGAATCTACATATCCCTGTAGCTTCATCTCGCCTCTTCTAAAACATAGACATCTGTTTGTGGTACCCTGTAGATATCTCAATATCCACTTCACTGCTTCCCAGTGTAGCTTTCCTGGATTCATCATGAATTTGCTTACAGCTCCCACTGCATATGTAATGCCTAGTCTCGTGCAAACCATGGTATACATTAAACTTCTAATGGCTGAGGCAAACGAAATCATAGCCATGAAGTTCCTCTCATTGTCTGTCTTTGGACACTGATCTTGGGATAATCGAAAGTGATTAGTTAAGGGTGAATTCACTGCCTTAGCATTACTCATGTTGAACCTTTTCAGAACCCGTTCAACATACTCAGCCTAAGATAACTGCAAAGTACCTTTTTGTTTGTCTCTGTTAATACTCATCCTAAGAATCTGCTTTACTGTACCAAGATCTTTCATTTCAAATTCACTAGACAACTGTTTTTTCAACTTGCTGATTTTTTGAAAATCAGAACCAGCTACTAACATGTCATCAACATAAAGTAGGATATGATGTAACTCGTCTCAAACCTCTTGAAGTAGCAGCAATGGTCAGCACTGCATTTGTTGTAGCCATGTCTTCGCATAAACCCATTAAATTTCTTGTACCACTGTTTCGGGGCTTGTTTCAAACTGTACAAGCTTTTCTTCAACTTGTACACAAGTTTCTCCTTTCCTTTGACTGAGAAACCCTCCGATTGCTGCATGTAAATCTCCTCCTCTAGGTCTCTATAGAGGAAAGCAGTTTTGACATCTAACTGCTCTGGGTGCAAATCCTCTGCTGCAACAATGTTGAGAATTGACCTAATGGTAGTCAGTTTCACAATCGGTGAAAAAATATTAGTGTAGTAAATTCTTTCCTTCTGCTGAAAGCCTTTGACCACCAATTGTGATACCCTTCGATTCTAGAGCCACGGGTGATCGAGTCCAAGCACAGATTCGAGGGATACCAAACAATTAATATTTAAACAAGCACGATTACAAAAAGAATTAAGAAATAAATAAGCAAGGCTAAAAGAACCTAAATAAAAATCCATAAAAGTTATATAATCCAAAACTGCCAAAACCTTCAATATGATTACAATTTGGGAATCCATTTAGTGGACCCCTAATAATATTCCAGCTGGAAAATAAATAACTGAACTAAAGGAAAGCCAAAACTAAAACATAAGTAAAAGTCTTACGTAGTTGAAAGAATGAGTGAATGTCTCTGCTCAGCACAAACAAGTCCTAAGTCGGGAACCGTCGAACACTTGAAAAAAATAAGAGTAGGTCAGGCCATGAGCAAGTTCTATTCTAACTACAATCCAAACAGAAACCCGATATGCAGATACATGCTAGATAACTCAATAATAACTTTCTAGTCCATAGGTATATATATCCACACTAAGGGACTCTTACTGGACTACAAGGCGGTCTCTGTAACGACTCGAATAATTACCAAAATAATAATAAAAATCTATAAAAATTTCAGCATGACTTCCGCAGAAAATGTCCCTCAACAACCTGTAGAAATACAAAAAAAATAAATGCAATGGCCTCATTGGGCCTTAAATCTAACTTATCCTGTCCCAACGTACAATTCAAATATTATACTACATTCCCAAAATGGTTATATACATACAAAAGTCCCGTTCCTCTATCTCATCCAAACATGGAACCCACTTAAGTTACATCAAATTACAGTCCATAAAATGTAGCTAGAATTAAAGTCCATAGCTTACAACATTATACTAATTAAACTAAAGTGTCACAAGGTAGTTAATATTACATTTACAAAATATTAGAGTCTAATACAAAAAAGAACAAAATAGAATGGGTCTTCAAGCTCATCTAAACCTGTGGTGGACCGTCGTCCGCCACCTCTTTTCCATATCCTAAAAAAAATGTTAAAAATAAGGGGGTGAGCATAAGCTCATTAGGAAGTGTCTAAGACACACTTCTTATGTCCCCGTGAATCCATACAATGAATAGATAAAAAAAGTGAACGGGATCATGCCATCGGAAAACATCCATTCTTAACCGCAATAACAAGTATATAACAAATATCAATCAATCACAAATTTTACCACGATGTCATGAAGTGCAATGTTATGCAAATGTCACTCCCCATTTCCGAAACAATTCCGTTTCAACAACCAAACCATTAGTGTAGTCCGACCCAAGACACCTCCATGGCGTCACAAAAGGAAGGTTGGTTAACTATCCACGACCACAAGGCACCTCCAAGGCGTCGCATCCGGCCTAG